CAGAGGGGCAGCATCCGCTCCCTGCCCTGCTGCCCACACTGCTGGAGGGGCAGCCCAGGCTGTCAGGGGCTCCTGGCCAGTTCCTCACCCCCAGTTCCTTCTCCCCAGGGCTGCTTTCTCCAGCCCTTCTCAACCCAGCCTGGGCTGGTACCAGGGGTTAACCCAGTCCAGGTGCAGGACTTGGCACTTGCCTGGCTGGACCTCCTGAGGTTCACAGAGACCCACTTCTTCAGCTTGCCCAATCTTATTCAAAAATCAAGGGAAACTGGGGGAGTACTATAAACATTTTATTTATTGTTTTTCAAAAAGACAGGAAAATAATCTAGAGCATTTATTTATATTTTCTTTTTCTTAATAAAAACCTTTACATAACCCTCATGCATAAAGACCTTCACTGAGCTAACGTGAGGGGACTCCAGGCACAGCTGGAAGCCACAAACTGCTGTGGGCAGGGCTGGGTGGCCATGGCAGGAGATGCTGCTGCAGGAACCCTGAAAGTAGATCTGAGCCATGGACAGCTTTTATTTTTTCCTCCTTGAACTTGCTTCACTGTCACCACTGAGGAGTGAAAGGATCTGCCAGAACATGAAGCCCCTGCCAAGCCCAGCTCCACAGGCACTACCTCACCTGTGGATGGGGTCAGCAAAAGGAGCTTCACTCACTCCAGGACAACATTGTGTGGTTGAGGGCACCAGAGAAGTCCAACCTGTCTCAACACTGCTCCAGAGGACAACAATTCCCACGTTAGCCCACGGCCTAAAGCTGTTTTACCCCTCTACGGAAAAATCTGCGTGGCCAGAGAGGTTGTTCGCCCTCAGAATAAACAGAAATGGTTCGAAACTGTCCATGGGTGGAAGAGGCTCTTCCTCAGTGAGTCACTAGGGTCAGCTCCCGGAGGTAGAGCTGGGTGAGGGTGCGGAGCTCCTCCAAGGCGTAGTCCTCGGGCATGGGCAGCCGCCCGACGTGGGGCGCGAGGAGGCGAAGGGGCACGCGCTGCAGGTCGGGCGTGGAGTCGGAGACGTGCTCCGGGGCGTGCTGCAGGCTCAGCACCACCCGCAGCAAGTTGGCAACACGCTTGGCCATGTCTGGAAAGAAGAGGAAGGGGAGCGTTTGTCCTCTGGAGAGCATCTCCTCCAACCCCCCTGCTCCAGCAGGTCACCCACAGCAGGGTGCCCAGGATCACATCCAGCCACGTTTGGAATCTCTCCAGAGCAGGAGACTCCACAGCCTCTCTGGGCAGCCTGCTCCAGGCTCGGCCACCCTCACACCAAAGAACTTTCTCCTCCTGCTCAGGTGGAACCTCCTGGGTTCCAGTTGGTGCCCGTTGCCCCTTGTCCTGTCACTGGGCACCACTGACAAGAGTCTGGCCCCAGCCTCTTGACCCCACCTTCCAGATACTTATCAACTTCAGAAGCTCCCACTGACAAGATCCACACCATGCTCTGGAACGGGAGCTGGTGTCGTGCTCACCCTGTGGAGGGGTGAACTCCAACAGTGATTCAACAGCACATTTTGAAGCAAAGGCATTTGGCCGGCGTGGTGGAACCATGCCCTAGTGTGACCTGCCCTTCTTCCAGCTCCAGCAGGGAATCTCCTCTCTCCAAAGGAAATTCCTCAATGAGGGCAACAAAAATTTGGCTCAATTCCTTTAACCAGAATGCTTTCTGCTCGTGTTGAATTTCACAGATTAGTTTGGGTTGGAAGGGACCTTGAAGATCATCTAGTTCCATCTATCCTCCTTCAATACTTCGTATCAAAGCAGGTTGCTCAGAGCCCCATCCAACCTGGTCTTGAACACTCCCAGGGATGGGGCAACCACAGCCTCTCTGGGGGCAACCTGGGCCAGGGTCTCACCACCTCACAGTGAAGAACTTCTTCCTAATATCTTACTTGGCACTGTAAAGCCAAGTATGGGCAGGACACTTCACAGGTTCTCGGGAGACAGCTGGAAGAGAACAGACACTGGATGATGCCGCACCAACCAGGTAACAAATGGCCAGAAGTGACAACCAGGCACATATGCGACACATGGCTCAGCTCACCAACCACAGCCTTCCTTCAAAAGCTGTGGAGATGTGGTGCTGAGGGACATGGGCCAGTGGGGACCTGGCAGTGCTGAGGAATGGGTGGACTTCATATCTTAAAGGTCTCTTCCAACCAAAACGATTCTGTGATTGCCACTGCCAGCAGACGCAGAGGGACAGCCCGAGCAGCAGCCCAGGGGATGCCAGGAGTGGCTGGGCTTCCCCCGCGGGCGGCTGCAGCGGGTGCCCCGTACCTGACTGCGCCAGGCGGTCCCTGGCACCGTGGCACTGGAGCTGCTCGATCCTGCCGCACAGCGACGTCACTTTGGTGTGTAGCCGCTCGAGCTCGTAGGTGGAACAATCCAGCTGCAAGGCAAGGGAGAGTCAGCCCCAGACCCCACACCCTTCATCCACCCAAGAGAAGACAACCCAGGCTAAAAGCTTGTGGCAGTTCACACCTGGAGGGGGGAAATGGGAGGACCAGAGCTGAGCTAGAGGGGAGTATGTTATGACACGGACCTGCTGGAGCAGGGCCAGAGGAGCCCCAGCAATGACCCGAGGGGGGAACCCCTCTGCTGGGAGCCCAGCAGGAGAGAGTTGGGCTTGGGCAGCCTGCAGAGGAGAAGGCTCCAGCTGGGGAGACCTTCTGGGGGCCTGACAGGACTTCCAGGGGCCTCTCAGAAAGCTGGGGAGGGACAGAACAAGGGGTGACAATTTTAAACTAAAAGAGGGAGATTCAGACTACACAGAGGGAAGAAATTTTTGACACTGAGGGTGATGAGCCCCTGGCCCAGGTTTCCCCGAGAGGTGGTTGCTGCCCCATCCCTGGAACCATTCCAGGTGAGGTTGGCCGCAGCTCTGAGCAACTAGTTGGGGATGTCCCTGCTCAGTGCAAGTGGGTTGGACTAGGTGACCTTTAATGTCCTTTCCCACCCCAACCACTCTGTGATCCTGCGACTGACACGCAGACTCCCCGCTAACCAGCTCATTTTGTTTCTTCTTCACTTCCCTCACTCTCGTGCTCCCTGGAGCACATCTGCAGGGCATAGCCCACAGCTTATTTTGACAGTATCTACCAGGTCTCTGTATAGTCAGAAACATGCCAGGTTCTTCTAGCAGAGTCCCAATAGTAAAGACAATAGTAGTGTCTCTACTAGTGGGACTCTAGAGCAAAAGGTCATTTAGAGCCAGACTGTCTATGAGCTTCCAAACCACCAGAATAAAACCCAAACCAACCCACAGATCTTTACTCTGTTACCTGTTGAATCCTATCAAGCATCTCAATAACACGGATGTAATCAAGGTAGACCAGCCCCGTCACCTCCCAGTCCTGGATAAGTGCACTGCGCTCTGGAGGGGCAAGGTCTTCCAGGAATCCTTTCAGGTACTTGTAGTTTTCATTAATAATGGCATCTAAAGAGAACAAGAGTGTGAGGAACAGTGCAAAAGGGTTTCTGACAACACAGGAACATCAGCTGTTAAGGAGTTAACAACTGTTGGATGGTCTCTCAAGGAGTTTTGCAATTCCCTGAATAAATTGGCCCCCTGCACTGGGGAGGCTGCCTCTCGAATCCTGGGGTCAGTTTCAGGCCTCTCCCTCGCAGAAGGACCTTGCGGGGCTGAAGTGTGGCCAGAGAACGCGGAATGGTCTAGAGCCCAAGGGTGGTGAGGAGCAGCTGAGGGAGCTGGGGGTGCTGAGCCTGGAGCTGTAGAGGCTCAGGGGAGACCTTCTGGCTCTCCACAGCTCCCTGACAGGAGGCTGGAGCCAGGTGGTAGTTATCTGTCTCTTCTCCCAAGGAAGAGGGGAAAGGAGAAGAGGAAATGGCCACTGTTTCCCCATGGGAGGTTGAGGCTGGACATCAGGAACAATTTGTTGCCTTTGAGGGTTGTCCAGGGCTGTGCCAGGCTGCCCAGGGCAGTGGTGGAGTCCCCATCCCTAGAGGGGTTTCCAAGCCATGGAAACCAAGCTCTCCACTGACCCTGCTGGTAGAACCATGGCCCCAGCCCCTCCTGTTACTGAACTTTTGTTCTGACTGTATTTGTCTTCTTAAAGTAACTAGGTGAAAAAAAAAAACATAATTAAGACAGCAAAGCATCAGGAGCTCAGCCTGACCTGAGGCCAAGTGCCTGACAACCAGCTTGTGACACTGGTTCCAGTGCCCAGCCTTGAAGAGGAAGAGGGCTTCTTTGTGCTTGTCCCCCTCCATCCTCGCTCGGACCGCTTTCGCCTCGTGAATCCACTCCGGGGGGACGCAGAGTCTGCGAGTCAGAAACGTCTCCTTGGCCCAGGACTCTGGGGTCTCGGAGAGGACACAGTGGCGGCTGAGGAGCTCCCGCACGGCCTTCTCCCGGGTGCTGGGGGACAGAGGACCAGGCGTTACTCCAACCAGCAACACTGGCCCAGCAGAACATACGCCTCAAAATGGGCAGCGAGGACTCTAGGAGGCAGCAGCGGGTGGCACGATACTTCTTGGTGACATCAAAAGCCAACCTCACTGGACCTCCAGCAGGCCAGCTGTAGGACAGTGGGAGAAGTTCTAACACCAGTTAAATTCCTTCAGTACACGGTGATGAAAGGGAACTGAGAGCAGCCCTGTGGAGAAGGCCCTGGGCGTGCTGGGAGTGAGGAGCTGGCCAGGAGCCCCCAGCAGCCTCAGCTGCACCCCCAGCAGCGTAGGCAGCAAGGCAGGGCGAGGATCCTGCCCCCCTGCACC